CTGTCTTAGGGTTGTCACTTTTAGCAAAATTTTAATTCAGTGCCTATAAATTGGCAAGGGTCGGGAAGTCGGACTTTGCTATAAATGTAAGTATATCTGATTTTCAATTAATAGTTAATTACCTATTTATTTTGAATTACGATTTATTAACTGTAGGTAAGTAGGTGAGAAACCAAAGTGACTGAGAAATCGGCATAACCAAACGTAAACAAAGCAATAGCAGCAAATCAATTGACAGATCAAAAGTAGAAATTAAGCCAAAGTATATACCTACAACAAAAAATAAGTAAGTAGGTATCTCAATATCAAGTAAAAAATATATGCTAGAATAAGTGACTAGCTTACCTTTCTTGTTCAATAGGTAATCTGAACAGGGACAATTCTGGAATCGATGAATTGTTAAGACACCCAAACACACAGCAATAGGTACGTTCTCCTGATCCTGATTATCAGACATTTTGTTTTTTGATTTAGCGGTGCCGAAAACAGTGTCGCGCGAACCTCGTGCAGTGTTAGCCCCGACTGGCGCACTGAGAAACGGGTCGAGATTTTGTTACAGTGTGCGTGCGTCGACGCCTAATACTATGGCGCACACATACAAGCCGCGCGCGGTGCGTTTGTATGAAGAGAGACCTACTTCACTTCTCTTTATACTATGCCATGACCCTCTGGGACGCAACCAGCGTAAGAGCTGGCCGCCGCCCCAAGTCCGGCGCCCACACAGTGGCCTTAGAGGGCCATGGATCGCACAAACCCCGTACGAGTGAGGTTACCGGAGGTCCAATCCCTCTCTTCCTATCCCTTCCCAATCCTTAAATATCCGAAAACTTTATCCCCAAAAGGCAGGCAACGCACTCGTAACTCCTTTGATGTTGCTGGTGTCCAAGGGCGGCTCGGATTGTATTATTTGTATTCCAGCTCGTTTGCCGACATATCCCAAAAAAGTACTTAAACCTCTTAAAATAATAAATAGGTAGGACCTATCTGAACGTTCCTAATGAAAATAACTCAATCCGTATGTAAGTATGTATTACCTACTGATAATATTATTTACGTTCTCCGCAGACGAGTTCAGGGGACGAATACTTACCTATCGAACACGTATTTGAGGGTACAAGTAAGAAGCGGATACGTCTCCTAGACCCGTACATACTGCGACTTCGTAGGGAGCTACCTCTCCAGGCTTACAAGCTGCGCCGTCTTGATGTACGGAATCTGAACATTCTATTACCTACACTAGCTTGCTATGAGCTAGGACACCTACGTGAAACTTCATATCTATAGTTTATGGTACTTAAGTAGGTATAAAAGAAATTACAGAAACTGTACAGGAAACAAAATAATTGTGAGTTCTAAACTTCGACTAGACCGACCATCTAGTCTAGTTACTAACTATGGAATTATACAAATGGACAACCGAATTGAACCTTCCCTGTAACAACACTATGATTTGTCGTTCACGCTGCTTCTACTGAAAATGTACGAATCGCCGAACAAACTATCACACACACACACACACACACACACACACACACACACACACACACACACACACACACACACACACAAAATGGTTCCCAGAGAACAAATGGAACAAGTGTCGACTAATGGTGCTTTTAACCTCCTAGAACGTTTTTATCAGCGCCTTTATTGTCCCAACGACAAGCATTCACCTGGAACTGTTGCGGGAAACAAAGTTGTTTTCATGTTATTACCACATTATAAAAATCCTATATCAGTATAGTGAAATATGTCTACTTATATTCTAGTAGTAGGTACCTACCTACTTACATTAAATATCAGTATATATAGCTTTATGGAATGCGATTCTGTAAAATTAATAATTGGTAATAAAATATAGATATAGAAAGGTTTACCTTTACAGTCATTATTATGTGTATCTTATAATATTTCAATAAACCAAATGATGTCAAGGTGAATTTAGTTAAAATTGGAATAATTGTTATCTGAAAAACCACCCTAACAAATTTTACCCAATCCATGGTAGGTATTAGTAAATATGCTTTACCTTCGATTTCTGTAATTCCAGACTATAAGCGGAGTTTTATTAGACACTGACAATGAATCTGTTAGCGGAAAAAACTTAAAACATTCAAAAGTAAGTACCAACCTGGTTTATCTTTTTAAGGTCAATACAAACTATCAGGTACATAAGTAGGTACTGTAGGTACCTAATGTGGGAATTTACAATCCTCAAATAGCTTTAAAAATATGATAAAGCTGAAGAGTTTGTTTGAATGCGCTAATTTCAGGAACTACTGGTTTGAATTGAAAAAATCTTTTAGACTATTTATTGAGGAAAGCTTATGGCTATTAAACATCACACTACGATATGTACCTAGCTAGTAGCTTTTAATTAACGTTTATTGCAGAATCGCATTGAGCGGGCTGTTGGTTATTTGAGGAATGAGAAATGGTCGGTAAATCATACAGTTCATCATTTACAAACCTACCCTGTGGTTCCACATGATCTGGGTGTCCAACCGCTGGAATCTGCCACACTGTCTGTCACACAGTCTGCTACTTTACAAGCCAGGAGTTGTGGTACGTTTTAAATTTAACGACAAGCGTTTTTATTTTAAATTAGGTACGTGTGTTACTTGCATTTTAATTCAAAAGTAACATATATGTATGTATATTACATTGAGAAGGAATAGGTTATTATTATATTTTTTTACGTAAGCCTTATAAGGCTTGTATAAAAGTAAACATGTAGACAGGTACAAAAGCACTAGTCCTCGACACCCCAGTGTTTGACACTCACATCATCTTTTTACCAAGCATTTTTTTCTTTAACTGGCGTGTATGCTTATTCACTTGTTTCTAACATATTATGTAACAAAGCTTGCAAATTAAATTTGATGCAATGTCCGCTTACTGATTGCGATGAAATTTTACGTACTTAATAATGGTTCCTTATATTGTTATGACGACATGGTGCCGATCTGATGATGGAACTAGGAAGTTGGAGTGGCCTTAGGATCTTTGCTAAGTAATATGAATCGATTAAACCTCATCAAGCTTAGACGTGTTTGAATCGTCCTCACGAGTACCTTGTTGATTTTTAGGGTTCCGTACCTCAAAAGGAAAAAAAGGAACCCTTATAGAATCACTTTGTTGTCCGTCTGTCCGTCCGTCCGTCCATCTGTCAAGACCCTTTTTCTCAGGAACGCGTGGAGGTATTAAGCTGAAATTTATATCAATTACTTAGATCTACTGTCCCTTGAAGCTGTGAAAAAATCAAACTTCTAAGCCAACGCAATCAAAAGATACAGCCGTTTATGCCGCAAATTTTCGACACTTGCAAGGGAATCAAAACCTACAGGGTGCTTCCCGTGAACTCAGAATCTTGAAATTTGGTACGAAGCAACATCTTATAGCATAGATAAAGGAAAAATTACGAAAACCATAAATTTTTTGTTACATCACTTAATATACATATTTTTTTTTTAATTTTAAACTTACTTCCCATTTCCTCATAAACGCGTAGAGGAAATTCATACCAAATACTCAGGTCTATAATACCTTTAAGCTGTAACAAAATCAAACTTCTATGTCAACGCAATCAAAAGAAACAGCAATTTAAGCTGCATATTTTGAAACTCGCAAGTACTCGCAGGGGAATCAAAACCTAAAGGGTACTTCCAGTCGACCTAGAATCTTGAAATTTGGCATGAAGCAACGTTTTATAGCACACATAAAGGAAAAGTTCCGAAAGCCTAAAATTTTTAGTTACATTACAAAATATATATTTATTTTTTAATAAATATAAACTTATTACTTTTTTCCTCATGAACGCGTAGAGCTATCAAGTTGAAATTCATATCAAATACTTAGATCTAATTGCCTTTAACCCGTGAAAAAAATCTAAGTCAACGCAAAAACGCAAAACGCAAAAGTACAACCATTGATACCGCATATTTTGAAACTCGCAACTACTCATGACTCGATTGTCGTAATGAACGAACTTTGTAAACCTAGCAGGTTTGTACGGAACCCTCGGTGCGCGAGTCCGATTCGCACTTGGCCGGTTTTTTCAATGGTAACCAGGATTGTATGACGGTGCAGGAAGCCAATATATTAAACGACATAGACATTTGAACTATGGGCTTGTATTATTTATTTTAGGGATTTCTTTGGCTATACATATAGACAGAACCAAAGGGTATCTTGGGTATCGGGTTGATTAAGTATTAGATAGTAGGCTTACCTAACAATGGTAAAATTTTCCCATTTACTAAACGTGGACGCGTAATAATAACTTTGTCCTTTTAGTTTGTTTGTTTTATTTTAGTTGTGTATTGTAATTTTATTTAAACTTTATACTCTAGCATAAAGTTTACATGACATAGAGGCGGACTTAATGCCGTAGGCATTCTTACCAATCAACCTTAGGGTGATGCAGAGTATAGTAGGTGCAACACGAAAAGAACTTTGAGACGATAAATTTAGATTTCAGAATGCAACAACAACAATATGATTATTGTGTAGGAGATGGGAAAGGACAGGTTGTGGTAGCCAGGGTTTGAAAGCTGGCAAGTAACGTGACTTTTTTAAATTAGGTACCTAGCTATACGTATGTGAAGTAAAAAGTGTAAGGAAAACGGTGAGAGAAGAGGCCTTTGTTCAGCAGTTAGTACTTCGTACTTATAGGCTAGGCTGATGATGATGTTTGAGGCAAAATTAGGTAAGAAAGAAATAAAATTAAAATACACCGTACATATACAGTAGGTACCTACAATCTTTTATTTATATTGTACCAAATTCTTACTAAAAAGAACCAAAATAATATGAAACAATTTAAACCAGAAAAAATTACCTAAAACGTGTCGAGCACTGGAATCAGGTCAGAACCAAGTTGTACTCAACAGTTGATCATTTAATATTTTACGTACTTACTGAACAAAATAAGAAAGTCTACTGTACGATATAGACATATATATACCTAACCAAAACTTAAAAAATCATTCTTCTGTAGGTACCTAATATGTTTTTACTTTTAGTTGCAAAAAGTATCTAAATGTCAATCACTTGGTACCCTACCTAATCTTACCAAATAGATACCTAGGTAATTATATTATATAAATAAGTACCTGTATTAATTTAAGTCGACTATAAAATGTTTATGAACATTCACTTTCACAAATCAGTAAATGTCTGTGTCCTCAAAGTTTTCAGTCTTTATATTGTTTTTGATGATGACATGGTGTTCAAATTCCTCGTTATTTTGGTTTTGCAAATTCTGCGATTGAGATGATAACTGTTCTTCTGCATTAATAATTACTGCAAAAATTTTTTTCTTTACTTGGGTTTGCATCCAGCTCGGCATTTCTCTGGTACTTTGTAAAATACAATTAAAGAAAGATTCGAGTGCGTCTTTCTCCTTTTCTTGTGGCTTAATTCCTGAGACGGCTTGCTCCTCGGAGTCAGGGTAGCGGCGTTTAGGTGGAATAATATCGGATTTTGTATTTGTCGTAGAAACGTCGTGTTCAGAACTTCTTCCCATTGTTACTGGTTGATCCATTTCTATATTTTCAGATATGCGATATTTCATGTGGGGTTCAAGGAATTGCATAGCTTTTGCATACTTCCAAGTGGTTACTTGAGCTGGTAATAATTTGTTTTGTCCTAATTTAGCTCTCTTCAAAGCCTCTCGATGATTATCACGAAGTTTCCTCCACTCGGTTCGTGCTGTTTTAACTGAAATAAATTAAATAACATTTTAGAATTTTTGGGTTTTGATAAAACCAGAAGAAGGAAATGGAACTATTAGACACGTCGGCACATCTCTGTTACTGTAAATTTTGGCTCTAGATCACGGAGACACGCCTTTTTTTGGTGAGGAAAAGCATCAAGTGTCAAACTTTCATTGACTAAAAACCGCCCAGATCCTTCTTCTGCTCCAGGCCCTACATCTTATTTTTGTAAAAAAACGTTGCCTCTTATCAACTTTGATTTATACAGGTTTCATAAAGTCGTTAAATTAATTGAGATATCTTGCCAAAAATTCACGTAGGACGTAAAACATAATTACCTAAATTACCTCGTGACTGCACTGTTTACATAGTACAAACATACTATGTACCCAATTCAAATACATCATAGCATTCAGATACGTAACACTTAATATTTAAGTATTACTTATAATATAACTTATAACATGCCAAAATTATATCGATCCTTTGGATGTACTGTGTACTTATATTTTCAAAATATTATTAGATAATATACTGATTTCATTTTTTAAATTTATTATATATAGGTACATAATTGCGATATATTATTCATCGACTAAAACCTCTACTATATAAAAACTATCTAAATATGGTTAAACACAAAAGCTTCTAAAAAATTTCAGCATTAAATGTTATCAAAGTTCTCTATCTACCTACCTATTTAATTTTTTATTAGGTATCTATGACATGAGCCAGTGATAATGGTTATTATTACTTAAATTAAAAATATATGTTATTATATCGTTCACACTATAAACTATTAACTAATCGGAACTTGTAAATTGGGTAAATACCTACAATAAAATTTAGATACCTAGGTACTCAGTATTAAAATGTAAACAACTTCAGTCCGCTTACATAGGAAAACTCGTTTTGACCATGTATCACAATGACGCATACGAACGATCCTCAAAACTCTCGTTCCAGCAGGTCGGCCATGCAGGTACAATGTGGTAATGTATGAGTAGGTAGGTACTTACTATTTGATATAGAACTGTCGTTAATTTCTTCAATGACGTTTTGCCAGGCTTGCCCTCTAGCATGTACATCAGCATTGTGCGGGTGTTGTGGATTCCACAAGCAGGGATGTGCTCTTACAGCTTGTATGAATTTTTCCATTGTTTTATACTATGCTAAGCGATAAAACTCGACGATGCTCGCGACACAACGTACCTGCGCAGCCGCGCGCCGAGTGGCTCTGCATGTCGGACGGAGCCCTCCCTTTACAATCAAACCGGTTTTTGTGTCGAACGCTGGCCATCGGTGCTATAAAACCAGTTAGAACGCTTTCACATTGACGTTATTCGAACAATCAGGATTTAATAAATATGTAATGTCATTGTATTTGTCTTGTACTTACTTAGGAATTGCGCTAGGGTACCTACCTATAAAAATACTTAGTTATCTCAATCTCAATCATCATCTTAGTTCTACTTTTTTAACAAATCCCATGTATCACAATCCCTTAAGTAATTAATAGGGTTTTTAGGAGAGAAGTGGTCGATGTTAGACTTGATATTAGAATCTATACTAATATTATAAAGAGGTAAAATTTGTAAGTTTGTATGTTTGTAAGTTGGTATGTTTGTATGTTTGTAAGTTTTTATGTAGGGGACCGCTGGTCGAATTGCCAAAATTGCTTCACTGACAGATAGCTACAATGTTCCTGAGTGCTATAGGCTATAAAACATCACGCTACGATTAAAAGGAGCCGAGCAGCGGGTGAAACCGCGTGAAAGTAGCTAGTATTATATAAGTATAGAATGACCTGCAAACGACAAACTTATAACATGTCACAAACCTACATAAGTAACCTACATAGTAAAATACTTAAAGGCATAATTGGTTAACTCACGATTTAATTCTTATTTTGTTGTAGTTGATAATTATAAGTACACTAATATCTTAAACACGACGTTGGCCAAACGCAGTAGACGCAGTGAACATAACATTGTGGTTGAAGAAGTGAGTGATGATAAACAATGGGATTCGAAAAATGGGTTCTACCACTTATCAGAAACGGACAGAAGTCCTATGCAGGAAATCGATGATGATGTTGTAGAAAAGTCGGCAAACATCATGCACGAAAAAGAGACACCGGAAATGTTCGTCACTAAGTCATTGACTGATGAAATTAATATAGCTGATGAGAGAAGTCGTCTGAAAAAACTTATTCATTCTAAAATAACTAATTTCAAGGAATCTGAATCGAAATCTGGCAGGAACAAGTATTCAGAAAAATATAAAACAAGTCCGTCATCTCCTAAAACTAAAGAAACTAAAGCTTCTGTAACAAAGAAACGATTTGAAGATAAATATGAAGACAATCAAGAATCGAAAGAAAATAATGGAGAAGCCGAGAAAGACTACGCTGTTTATGAGATCGGCCATCCAGAGCTGTGGTATACAGTCCACGTACAACTGTTTGAAAAATTAAGTACTCCTGACGGAAAAACTGTATGGAATGACTTGACTAAAGGCGAGCTGGCTAGGTAAATATTAAGTTTTAATGTTTCTGGATGTAGGGAATATTTTCTAATGCTTGCAGAAAGCAATCATCCATTGTGCGTGGACAATTACCACTCCTAACAAAATTAATACGTTTCTTTTTTTTGTTGGGGTAAATCATCAAATGAGTCTCTCAGCCTGTTGGATGGCCATAAGGAATGTCAGCCTCTTAAAAACTTGACCCTTGCGCCCGCCACCTCTTTTAAAAGTATGTTTTCTTGATTACCTACTTTTTATTGCAGTGTAAGTTCAACGTCTCCTGAATGGACTGGTCAGGATCTGAACGTTCGCTATCGTCCCGCTGAGTGGATACCCAGAGACGAATTTTCCTTACCTCCCAGTAATCTATGCCTACTAGCCCCCATTCGTTCAGGAGATGCTTCTGCTTATAACGAAAACGGCACAAATCTAAATGGTAAAATGTAGTTAAATCGATACTAATATTAAAAAGCTATAAATAAAAACTGTACAGTTTGTTTGTAGCAGTAGCAGGTTCGAATTGAATCATTCTTTTATTTGCTAGTCCATTAATCTAGTAAGGCTTTAAGCTATAAAACATCGAGCAGCGGGTGGAACCGAGTAGATTAGCTAGTGGTTTATATTTATGATTTCCTTCTTCCTGCTTTTACATATTTATTATCAGCGAACTTGAGGTACCTATAAATAGAAATGTAACATCGATAAAAGCAATGTAAAGATTCTATATATATATTTAATCGACAATTTGTACTTACTTGTTACAAGGCGAGTCTGATGACGAGGGCTACATCGTTCTCCCTGAAGAAGACGTTATAGGTCCAAAAGATGAGGATAGAAACATCAACGGACGAAACGATAATAACTCCGATTCTGAATACGTTTCGAGGTCTGAAGAACTAAGGGGACGGGTAAATAAGTCTAATAAGATTTATCAGATTTGTATTAATAAAAAAAAACATATTTATCTGGCGAGTTATTAAGTAAACTACATATTTACGTACAGGGTCGCCGAAAAGTAGTCGTGCGTACATCTAGAACTATACTGAATGGAAAGGAAGAAAAGGTCAACATTGCCTTCCAAGGTGCCAACAAATACCTAACAATACCGCACCGACGGCCACATCACGCTCAAATTGATTTAGAGGCAAGAGCTGATGAAAATGAGCTCGTTCGTGTTGGGTAATTACAACCCATTATATGATTCTTGAAGTAAATGAAATATGTAATTTTCAAAATTTTATTGATTGAGCTTTCTATAACAGTGCATCGGGACGAATTGCAATTGCTGTAGCCGACAGCTCTCGTAAAACACGGACTGTGATAACGCTTCAAGTCGGAAATACGGGATTAGCTGCAGCCCGGTTCAGGTCGAATAAATTGTTATTAATAGTGTTCAGTTTCATTATATTATTTTTTTATAAGTATTTGATAAAGTAAATAAATTTATTAATAAAATAATAAATTTATCCAGGGTCTTCACTCGTGATTGTGGCCCAGCCTTGTCTGATCTGATGAACGATAAAAATAAACCAGTGATAATGGCGGGCCCGGTGTTGATCCCTCCGCGGCACACTCGGACTCTTAAGTTGGAGCTGCCGGTCGAAATTCCTGTGGATGTCGCTCAATGTTCTGGTAAAGTATTAGCGAAGGCCACAATACAGAGAACTGAAACACAAATTACGTCCAAAGTAGATTTTTCTTTTAGCTAGGTTTCGGACAAACTGACTCTTTGTATGCCAATGTCGGTACCTATAACCCACATGAATCTTAATACTTTAATAGAGCAAAACTTACAGACATCTAATTAATTGCCTTTTTATGTGATAAGTCGGCAAACGCTGTTGTTGCAGGTGGACTAGCTGCAACAACAGATGAGTTACGAGTGCGTTGCCGACCTTTTGGGGATTGGGCATTGGGGATTTGCCTTTATCTTGCTATAACCATATCAGAGCTATCTTAGTTTAATGGTATCTAATAATAATGTATTACTAGGTACCTACTTATAGCTTTATTAAAATATTATTTGTCGTAGTTTCGTTGGTGAATGACGAGGAAAAGTCCGTAGCAGTACGAGAAGTGTCTGTGAAAAAGGGTGACCGATGTTTTTGCGTCTGGCACTGTGACTGCGTCTGTCTAAGTAAGTTCACTTACAAGTAGTACAGTAGTTCTTAAATTGCTGAATTATATGTACATAAGTATGGGATTTTTGTGTTCAACCGCCAGCTGCATACGGCCAGCTTTTCTTCTAATTGCCAGATTTTTGGGTTGGTTGATTGTTGCATTAGCTCGGCATCTAGCATCTAGCAGCTTGGATCGATTATTCTCGCATGAACCAATTCTTTGTGTGCACCGATTTTTTATTCGGGGTTTGTTGCAGTGCTTAGATTAATTTGAATGCACCCACGACACAGAAGAAAATTCTAGTGTGGGACATAAAAAAGAAATTCCTAATCAATATTTTTTGCGTAGGTGATGATCCCAGGTTACTGTGTCGTGAAATGGCAGAAGCACGTCAGTCGGCGGCTGGCCTCTCCAACCGCGACAGGATTCGCCACGCTCGGTCAGCTTGTTACAAAGACGTGGTCACGCTCAACATATTCATCATCTTTACAGGCGTTATTGTGGCGCTTTTGTTGCTCGGTGAGTAAAAATATTTTTCAATAAGGAACAAAAGACTTGATTGATTTCAGTCGCATTAGGTAAATTTTTATACTTATTTTCTTGATTTTGATTACCTACCTATATTTTGTTTTTTAGGTTGCGTTAAAGCCATTTTAGGGCTAATATTCAGTTGTATTGGCTTGTGGGGCTTAGACCAGATGGTGCAAATCCCACGAAAAATCGACCATTATTACGAAAAATCTCTTAAGTGTCGGCCAGTTGAATATGACCAGGATGGATACCCTATCCATCCTGACAGCAAACAGAGGACCGTTCGTATGCTAAGCAGGTAAGAGTTTCTAATTATGGGATTGATAATAGGTACCTAATATCTTTTTGTTTATATCAATTAGAATGTAGTATTAGCTCTAGAACTAACTTAATACGCTAAACTCTATACAAAAAATATCTGCACCAGCAGGAGAGCTTACCACCAAGCAGGGAAATTTAATATTTTTTATTTCATAACATGTTTACGTTGATGATAAAATGACCTAGGATTAAGAAACATTCGAAGTTCATATTATATTTGCTTAATTTGCAGATCCGTGGAGTTTATCCTCAACGTGATATTCTTTGTCAGCGTCCCTTGCATTATCATATGTGATGCGATCAAGGAAATGATTTCACGTTGCAGAAACCAGTGCACACAAAACCCTTGTTGTATGACGACCTCCAAGAGCGAAACTAAAAAGTGTTTTAGCAGCCAGGACATGCAGGTATATCTCTATAATTTTATATAATCCTATATTGTAAACAGTGAGGAATTGCACTTGTAAGTATGCATAGTACATGTATTTGTAAAAATCGATGGTCTATTGTTATTGTAGATAGATTGTTTCGACACTTTGAGCAAAAAGTGCAATTCCTGGCTGTTTGTAGGGGATGGCGGCGCTGCGGTGGCGGCGACGTCGCGGTGGTCTGCGTAGGTGGATGACACCTGAGGCACAAGAACTCTCCAAAGAGCTTTGGAAGCAAGGCCTCACACCGATCAAATGTGAATTTGTAAGATCTGATCTTTACGATATTTTATAAGTATTGCAAAAGACTCTATTACACAACTTTGAATAAACGGGAGAAAATACCTTCCGTATACTA